CACTACTGAGGATCTGATCCAAAGCAACAATCATAGAAACATTACCTTGATTCCGAGTTCCTCACTGAGGTTTACGAATAAATATTCATATCCATAAGCAGCTTTGCAGTTCAGCCACACAACATGATAGCGGGACAGTGAGGTCCAGCTTCGCACTAATTCCAAGATCCCATTTAAACATTCCTCCTGAAAAGTGTAGAAGATGTTGTGAATCATCTTTGAAGATAATTCCTATGTGTTGCAATTTGGTAATGCAAAATGGCATTGCCTTGCAAGACTTACCTAAAAAAGGGATGGTTAATAAATTAGCAGTTTTAAGGACCTTTTCCTCTCACAGCTTATTTGGACTTACCCGGCTTGGTATGTGATAAAATTTGGGATCACAAAAAGTAGTGTCCAAATACACACTCTGGATATCTTTTACTCTGGAGGAGAGAAATGTGATATCAGAGAATATTGCATCACAGTACTAAGACACACCACTTCCTCTTTTCAAAAGGAAGCAACTCTACCCCTTTGTTTCAAAGAACAAATCAAAGGGGGTTTGTAACTTGCAACAGCATTGCAATTATATTTAATCCAGAATAAAAAATGAGGAAAAAATTAGTACATTATTCCTGAATTGTCCATGCCATATGATCCTTTATTCTTTCTAAATCCCACAAATAGCTCACCTGGTCCCTGAATGCAAAAGCTCCATTCTGGCTGCTTCTCCTTTTGCAAGCCTGAAATCCCCTGTGTACAGCACAGTGCCATTCTCACCTTCAAACAGAAACCTGCAAACAGCAATAGCTGGGTCAAACTCAGCGATATAAAACATTAAATGTCAGGTGGTGATCTGTTACCTTGCTTAGGACAGTTGACACGACTAATGTAGGCTGTAATGGAAATACTGGGCTCAACTTGGTCCTACAGTAATTTCAGAAATAACTCAGACTCAGTATGTCTGGAAAGTAACCTGTGCCTGGCCCAGTTAGAGCTGAAGACAAAAGCCTCACAAAATCAATGAGGGTGGCCCAGCTGTCTGTTGGAACCAAAGGCATCTATTGGGCGGCTGTATCTAGAGCTGGGCACCTTCTTTTTAATGTCATACTTAAGAAATGGAGGATTTATTTTCAGTCATAGTTTTGTATGTAATTTTTAAGTATAGTTGAAATCACTCAGGCACTCAGGGGAAAAGTAACCTGCCCCACCAAGGCAACAACTTCCAGATGGACAGATCCCAGGTAGTAATGTGGTTTTCCAACCTTTATCAAAGGTGGTGGGCCCTGCCACAATAGTATTTTCTCCAAGTAAGAATTTTAAAGTCACTATCTTCTTCTAGTTGGAAAAAAAAAAAAAAAGCAAATCAAACCCAAAACAAAACAGCTCTTAATGAGAACTCTACAGGACAAATCTCTCAGAAGAAATATTTAAGGTACTGAAAGCACATACATGACTGAACCTGGACAGTGACCAGCTGGCAGAAGTGTCACCACTACATCTTCTTTCTGAAAGAGGTGGGTTAGCATTATTTACACAGCATAGCAAGTACTACCAGTAGTTTTATCAGCACAATGAAAGTAACACATTACTCTCCACAGTCTCCTGCAGAATTTAGCATTTAAATCGAGAGTCTCTTCACATCACAACAAGCACTAAAGAGCAACGAGCATCCTGTCACATGAGAAGAGAGGACCAATTATTGCAAGGTGCTTATAAAGCAAGGTGGATATAAGACAGTTCTACTTCCCTAGTTCTGGTGAGCAAGTAGAGAATCACAGAATGGTTTGGGTTGGAAGGGACCTTTAAAGTTCATCCAGTCCAACACCCGTGGGATACACTTTGTGTGGAGATGCTCTGCTAGACCTTAACGTTCTGCATTTAAAGCTTGTTAATTAAAATAAGCCAGAAGATACAAAGTGAAAAAATCACAAGAGCAATAGGTAAGTTGGAGATCACAAATACCCCAGAAAGGCATTACCAAAAAAATGCTATGATAGTAAGAACAAAGCAGGGTAACATGTATTTTAAAAATAACTTCTCCTCTTGGGATTTTACAGGTAGGATGTGTTTCCCATGCTCATATAAACAGCATTACTGCCCATTACTAATATATGAATCTTTTTTTGTGTGTGTAACTTACCTCACCAGATGTTTCATCTACTAAAGAAATCTGAGTTGGAGTTTCAACTTCCAATGCAACCTGTAACAAAATGTTTAATTGGATTTACTGGACATTGTGTTTCATGTTTATGGCTGGTATTCATTATCTAGATATCTCTAGCACTCACTGTGGTTATTGCTAAGCCTGTAAAATTAAACTCATTTTCCCACAGTCATGAATTTCCATTTCCAGTGGAAAAGAAGTTTCCTAGGAGTTGTCTAAAAATGAAATGGAGATACCTCAACCAAGGTGTGCACGCCTAAAAAAGTTAGAGCACGTTGGATTTCTTGCAGTAACAACTCTTCTTTCTGTGGCTGGATCATATGCCTCATTTTTGGATGGCTGCAAAGCCCAAGACATCGCAGTTCTAGAGCACACCAGCGGATTTTAAATGAAGCAAAAGAGAAATTAATTAAGGACAGGAGCAAAAAGACACGAGCAAGGTAAGGAAATGAATACAGAGATACAAATGATCAATGTAAAGATGAAGGCCATGTAAAGTTGAGGGTGAGAGGAAAGGAGAAATTATTAAATGGCACTAAAGCAATCCCACACAGGAAGCAGCAGAAAAGGAACACCGCTGGCAACACTTAAGCTCTGAAACACTGTATCAACACCAATGTTTAGGCATTTCTGAGGAGCAGAAGCTTCCTCTTTCTGAGAATCACTGCTTGGAAAGCGTTAATTTAAAAATAAACGCAAACTCACAATATGATTCTCCCAAAACTTGTATTTCCAGTTAGTCAACAGCAATTCCTTAGTTACTGGTGAGCAGTACAGTTTAACTTTCAAGCTGTGAGGAGACAAAAAACACAGAGAAGAGTGTTTTTTAAAGTAGAGGCGAGGAACAATCTAACGACACATCAGCACCTGGCACCCAGCACATCAAAACCTGTGCTCAGAACCCTCTCTCACGTGAAGAGACCTGCAGAGCAGGAAGCCTGCAGCCTTTTCTTCAGCACAGCAAACCCAAACTTACCTCTGTGTGCCCATGCCTGCATGGGTTTTTGTAGACACAAATGAAGTGGTCACATTTCTGTTTCAATACCCCCACCCCTGGAACAGGCATTTGGGACAGTCAGCATTCACCAGAACACAGAATGCTCCCTATTAATCTTGTGCACAGTGCAGAGACCTGACGAGCAAAGAGAGGTTCTCTGCTTGCATCTGAGGAGATGCGACATTTACTCTAATAAATTAAACAGTCCTACTCCCAAGGCTGCAGGCATCCAGTTCTCAGCCTCTCCTCACACATCACACACTCCTGCCCCAGAATGGTGTGGTGATCCTGCTCCAGAACACCTGTCAGGGTGGTTTTTTTTCTCCAGGGGAGCCCAGGACTGAACTAAATATTCCTAAAAGAAGCCTCCAAGTGCTGGCCAGAGCAGAATAACTTGCTGGCCTCCTTCACAGCACAAGCACAAACAGGGCTATCGGCATGTACTTCCAGAGAGCAACAGCAGAGATCTCATCAAGTTCAACAAGGCCAAGTGCACCTGAGTTGGGGCAATACCCAGGATTAATAGAGGATGGAGTATGAACGGACCAAGAGCAGCCCTGTGGAGAAGGTTTTGAGGGTACTGGTGGATGAAAAAATGGACATGAGCCAGCCAACTCACAGCCCAGAAAGTCAACTGTATCCTGGGCTGCATCTCCAACAGGTCGAGGGAGATGATTCTGCCTCCTCTGCTCTGCCCTTGTGAGACCCCACCTGGAGTGCTGCGTCCAGCTCTGGGTCCCCAGCACAGGCAGGACAGGGACCTGTTGGAGCAGGTCTAGAGGAAGAACAAAGATGGTCCAAAGGCTGGATCGCCTCTCCTATGGAGACAGGCTGAGAGAGCTGGGGTTGTTCAGCATGGAGAGGAGAAGGCCCTGAGGAGCCTTCAGTGCTGCCACTATTCAATACTTAAAGGCGGCTTGTAAGAATGAGGGAGAGGGACATTTTACAAGAGCAGAGAGGAATGACTTTAAATCGAAAGCTTAGCTAGATGAAAGGAAAAAAACTTCGCACAGTGAGGTTGGTTATGCACTGGCACAGCTTGCCCAGAGGAGCTGTGGCTGCGCCATCCCTGGGAGCGTTCAAGGCCAGGTTGGACGGGGCTTGGAGCACCCCGGTCTAGAGGGAGGTGTCCTTGCTGTGGCTTTAACCCACAGCAGCTCCTCATGCTTTGCCGCGCCCCAGCCGCCTCCCCCTCAGCGCTTCGGGTCCCGTCCCCCCTCAGCCGCCGCCGTACCTGCCCTCCAGCCTGCGCTTCAGGGCGGGCGCCCGCAGCCCCTTCATGTGATCTGTGGAAAGAGAGAGACAGAGGCGCGGCGGTCAGTGGGGTGCGTGACGCAGCCGGGGCCGCTCCCAGCCCCCGGGGCGGCTCACCCTTGTGGCAGTGGGACAGGAAGAAGGCGCGGGCGCGCAGGTTGTGGTGGTCGAAGCGGTCGATGGACAGGGCCGGGTACTCCCGCGTGCGGCCCCCGAACCGGCTCATGGCCGCCGCCGGCGCCGCGCGCTTCCGCCTCCACCCCCGGCCCGCAGCCAATCGCGGCGTGGACCCGCCCCCAACCCTGACCCGCAGCCAATCGCGACGCGGGCCCGCCCCCCGCCGGCCTATCAGAGGCGGGCACGGCCCTTTCAGAGCGGCCATGGCGGGCGGTTGCCCTGGCGACCGTTGGCGTCGTGAGGGGCGGACGCGCTTGAGCGGCCCCGCGGCGGGGCTGGGGCAGCCGCCACCGCGCCTCGGCCGCCGCTCCGCCCCGCCTGGGAGGAAATCCCCCCGGTTTGCGGCTCTAGAAGCGAGGTGGGCCGTTCTTAAAGGCTGGGTGGGCGGGTGTGGGTGGGAGCAGCGCGGGGTTACGGTCGCAGGGCTGTCACGTCGGGACGAGACCGCCGCCTGCGCACCTGGGAGCGTACGGGGAGCTATCTTGTAGAGTCTGTGGAAACTTAGGTTAGATATTAGCGAGAAATTTTTTTATAAAGAGGGCGGTGAGGCGCTGGAAGAGGCTTCCCAGAGAAGCTGTGGCAGCGCCGTCCCCAGAAAGATTCAAGGCCAGGTTGGACGGAGCTTGGAGCAACCTGGTCCAGTGGAAGATGTCCCTGCCCATGGCTGGGGGGTTTGGAACGAGATGATCTTAAGGATGATCCTTCCAGCCCAAGCCATTCCAGGATTCTATGAGATCTCTTACTGACTTTTCTGGGCCCCCTGTGTTTGCTGACTTGTGGTAAGTGATGTAGGAAGCACAGCCATCTCCTCCCACTGCTCCCAGGGCCTCTCCTGCATGGGGACATGGGGCTCCTGCCTGAGCTGAGGGTGCTGCAAGACCCCCTGTCCTGGACCCAAGGTGCCTCTATCCTTCAGCTTAAAATTTGCTGGTAAACATGGGTGTGTGCCCTAGGATTACCAAAGCTGGTTAAGATACAGACACCCCTTCTCCCCACTATCCAGCACCAGGCACACAAGCTGTGACCCACAGCCCTGCTCCATATGCTGACAAGGAGCCCCTCACTCGTGACAGTCCTGCTCCTGCAGCTCATTTTTCAGGACACATCCTGTTCCTGCTCCAGTGGATGGAAGTTAAAGCCCCCCACCTGCTCTAGCAGCTGACATCACAGGCCAGAGGTGCCCTTACCCCCAGTCTGACTCCAGGAGCTGGCACCAGTGTTCACTCACACACAGGTCTCTTCAGCAGCTGGCACCTTGTCCTTCAGCACACATATATGTGGGATACAAAGTGAGATGGTTAAGATTTAAGAAGATACAATAGGGTGGGACAGTCTGTGATGATCAGGCGTGGGGCTCAGTCAGGCATGCATTCCTCATGGGTCTGTACAGCTCCATGGATTCCCACTCCTCTCCAAGTCTGGGTCCCCCTGGTTCACAGTGCTATCAGGGCAAAGCCCAGGCTGGTCCTCCTGATGCCTGTAGTTTCTTGATAGCCCCTCCACTGGTGGGAGTGACGAGGTTTGTTTCTTGTCATGGTCTTTCTTTGTTTTGTCAGGTCCTTGTTTCTTTACATTTTGTTTCTGTTTTCCCCCTTTCCCCCAATTTCCCAATTGACAAGGGGCTCTGATCAGATAACCTTGCTAGAATAAACATTCTTCCACTCCAATTAATGTGACTGACCAGGTCTGGTTCTCATCACCACCTCCCTCATTTACTGCTCAGGTTTGGGTCCCCCTATGTTCTTGTTTTATGGCTTCCTCCCTTTCCCGTAATCCCTTACTGCACTGAAGAACAGTCCTCGAGCAGATGCCCTTAAGGAGCCAACACTCTCCTCCCACAAACCCTTGTGTAACTGTTAAGGAAACCACCATATGCCAGCCCAGGCTAGTCAGGATTCCACAGTAATTGTGTTATGATTAAATCAGAAAATGTGTTCCCAGAGCCAAAACAGAGGTGTATAAAATCTCACTACTTACCCTAAATGAAGTGTAGGCAAACATTGTCGTCTTTAACAAAGTCCCCTTCACTGCTCAACAATTCCCCTTAGATGAAAACTGCTGGTATTACGCTGAATATTTTCTTACCACTCTCTTGCATTCTTTCATTTGCCTTTATCTGTCTGTTGTCTTCTGTCTCTTCCCTGAATTCCTGGCTGGAGTTCAGCTATCTCCTGCTCTGGTACAATGAAAACAGCTCTGTGGATGGAACTTGGACACACTGCAATAGACAAAGGGTACAAATTTTTAAATAGCAGCTCAAAAACATCAGGATGGGGCTTTCATTATTTGAAGTCACCAAGCTGGAACTTTCAATATATGACCTTTATATCTGTTTTTTGAGCAGGAAAGCCTGTGGACAGGCACCCTGAATTAATGGTGACTCAGGAAGCGCCAGACCTATCTGGATGTCATGAAGAAGCACATTCATCAGGTGAATCCAGCACATCTTGTCAAGAAGTACAAAACAGTAGTAACATGTAAGTTATCACAACACCCTTAAATTCATCATAGTTTATAATTTTTTAAGATCTAATGTTATTGCTAATACTGCCTTTCTAAAGTCAATATTGACTGACAACAGTTCTCATCAAACACTGATGAGCATATGCAGGGCTTGAAAAAATTCTGTGATGGCTACAAAAGAGCCCTTTGCAGCACAGGAGGAAAAAAAATTATGTGGAGATGGACAACTCAAGACTACTCTGAAGATTTAGGGTATTAGAATATTAGAATAAGGATTATCCTGTTAATTCATATGTGACACCTCATAACTGGATGGAAAAACTACATTTTTATTTTAATAAATGTTTGCTTTCAATTGCAAAATGATACAGAGCCTGCCAAAAGAGTGCTTGGAGCGCTGAACTGCAAGAAATAGTTTACTGTTGCCAGAAAAGAGCCCTTGTGCAGGTTTTTATTGATTTTTATTAAAGTGTATTCTCTAAGAGATGAAAAGGCCCTTTCTTTGTTTGCTGAGGGCTCCCATACAGTCAGATGACAGATATACAGAATTCTGCTAGTTCCATATTATGGTAACAATAATTCTTAACGTAATTTCCCTGAAGATTTGTATGCTGTGTTGCAAGATTTTTTTTCTAATTTCTGCTTTTCTAACAGACCAGTGGCATTTGTGCATTTGATAAGATTTCAGCATTCAACTTCTCAAGCTCTCAGTTGAAATAGGAACTTGCTAAGTAGGGAAATTGCACTCCGTGCACAGGGTTTGGAGGCAGCTTGATACCCACAGGGAGGGAGGCTGTGTTCCTCCTCTCACTGCAAAATCCAGAATCTTTCTCTCATTTCTTGAAGATGCCTTCCTAATTAGGAGGCTGAAGCTTGGTGACATTACAAAACTGAGAAAGGATTCACCTCTGATCATACCTGCTAGCCATGACAGTGTTGTGTGTGTTTTGCTTGCAGATGCAATAAAAGTTCCATTTTAGTAGCAGAATAAGACACATTCAAGCAAATGCAGTAAAATTTAGATATAAGGTAGAAGTCAAATTCTTTTTTTTTTCTTTTAAATAAAGTTCAGATCCTTCCCTGGTTAGGTTACATTGTTTGCAACTTGTTTGTTTGTTTGGTTTTTTGTTTTTGGTTTGTTTGGGGTTTTGGTTTTGGGGGGAGGTTGTTTGTTTTTTAGGTTTGTTGTTGTTGTTGTTGTTTTTTTTCAGTTTGAGTTTCATCTTGTCCAAGTTCTGCTCTGTTCAGGTTTAGCAGCTGATTAATCTATTTACTATTTCTCAGCAAACTGAACAAATGGGTTTTGTGTGAGGAGGAAGTCAATGGCAGTCAGTGCAGGTTTTGATTGGGCAAGGGGAGAAGAGGGTGAATTTTGGTAGGTTGTGTGCTTTGTCTCTTTACCCCGTTTATCTCTCAAGATCTCTTGTCTCTCATCTGCACTGTGGCCATGAGACTGGCCATGCATTTCCCCTTTCCCTTCCTGAGTGTCTGCTGTTCTTCAGGAACAGCCCAGATCTTCATTCTGTGGCTCTCAGTTTGGTGTCACTGCTGGAGGAAGAAATGAAAAACAGAAAGGGACAGCAACTGCAAAGATGTGAAATATAAAAATTGCCTTTTTTTTTTGGATGCATCAATTCCCCCCATTAGATTTTAGTAGGTTAAGTCAGGATGTATACTGAGGTATAGATAAGCTGGCTTTATTTGAGGTCAAGTAGTGTATTTAATTTAATTCCAACTGCTTTTCACTCCCTTTTAACTCAGACTTTGAGGTCTGTAATTTCCTTATTTTAAAATTTTAGTTTACCCATTTCTGTATATCCTCAACAAAATCACCTACTTCTGTTTTCTCTATTTAATTTTTAAAAATCTAATTTCAGGAAAAAGTCTGAAGTTCCTGGAGTCATGGCTAAAGCTGACATCAAACCAAAATCTATGCATCGTGCCAAAATATGGTCAGATGATGTAGAGAACTTATACAGATTCCAGCAAGCTGGATACAGAGATGAGGTGGAATATAAACAAGTAAAACAAGTTGATGTGGTAAGATTTAGGACTTTGCAAAATAGCAACCAAGAGGTTAATACAGCAAACAACACACTATATTTATCAGAAGTCTGTAATTTATCTTCCAAAACAGCAAATACAATATGAAAAATCCATTTTTAAAAGATCTTAAATTCCTCTGCACAGAAGAAATAGCAAAATGTTCTTAAGAAAGTAACTCCTTATCCAGTTAATCCTCTCACACTATTCACAACACAACAAAATGTTGGTGTGCATAAGATACAGTTTATTATTTTGTTGTGGGCTCAGTTACCACTGTAAAGGTTGTGGTGTAAATTCCAGTAACTGCAGAAGGAAATCCTGTAATTAGTGTGGTAGGATCTGTGCGTTTAAGATTTATGTCAGGGCACAACCATTGGCAATTAAACCCTGATGAACGTTAAAGAACACCACAGACTCATTGTAAAATGAGCGTGTGTTCTGTTCCAACCTGCCAGGGCCTGGCAGTGATTCTCTTTCAAGCACATTCTGAAATGTCTTGTTTACCCTATATTAGGTTTCTATAATGCAGCTGCTGCTAATGATGCAATTATAATGTAGGTAGAATGAAGATAAGGGCTGTTATGTTTAGACAGACAATGCAAGTAACACAGCTGTATGCCTTGAAGCAATAAGGTAAGTGATGAAACCGCTTCTGGGACCCTCCAATTAGAGAAAGCTCTAGCGTGACATCCTGTTGTCAGCTCTGTCTGGAGGAGAAATGAGGTTCAGTTTGATCAGAAGCAGTTCACAGGTGTTGAAGCTGCAAAGAGCTACTAAAGCCATAAAGCTGTTGAACTTGCAAAGTGCTCAAGCCTTTAAAGTTTTACACTGTGCAACACTGAAGAGCTCCAGGGGGGTGCTGGTTTGTTTCATGCAGGACTGATCCTGCTGTGACACATGCAGCTCACTTTATTTTCATGAAGTTGCTAATGAAAAGCATGTTAAGCATGTTTTTCATGGTCAGGAAGAAACCTTTAAGTATATGTCAGTCTTGCAGAAATGGAATCTTTCAGCCTCTCAGATTACTCAATAACTGAATAGTATCACTATTATATTCCTGAACAAGGTATTTTAAAAGCTTTTACTAGTCAAATTTTAAATTAGTCCATCAAATATCCTTGGATATTCATTTCTAGTATTTTGGGTCACATAACTATTTATAGTAAACCTGAAAACTGGTTTCTGACATCTTGTTCACAACCTGGTTTTAAAAGTTCAGCAAATTAATAGAAAAGCACTATTTAGATGCAAATGAGGTTTTCCCATGGAAATATATCCTATATTCCTTGTAAGATAATGCACAAACATGGTTTAATGTGAGCATGTTCAGGTGAGTGTATATCCTTTTTATTCTATTTGTAGGTAGAGTGTTGGCCAGAAACTGGATTCGTTAAGAAACTTCAGAGAAGGGACAATACATTCTACTATTACAACAAGCAAAGAGAATGCGAAGACAAAGATGTCCATAAAGTGAAAGTTTATGTGTATTAGTTTTGTTGTTGTTCTAGTTTGTTTGTTTTTATAAATCTGTCTGCTAAGACCTGCAAGTAAATGAATCGTGTAATCTGAGTTACCTTAAGTATCAATGCCATGCTTAGATAGAAAGGGGGAGTGCTGGAAATGGAGAGAAGCCTGGAGCTATAGACTTAGGAACTTCCCTTTTTTTTTTCCTCCTATAACCAAAAGACTTATTATTCCTTATTTTCCTGGTTACAAATGCTTTGACATAAAGATAAAAAGCTGGTAAATGGGCATCATATATTTGGGTTAACTGTGTGTAACATCCATTATAAGTATAGGCACCAAACTTTATTCAAAACAATATAATCTTGTTGACACTGGCTAACGTCAGCCACAGCCTCTTGGTGTAGGTAAGGGTTATGAGATTCCAGGGGCTAAAGGGAGGCCAGAACACTGACTAAAGAGCAGTGCAAGAATAACAAGCAAAGAACTGAAGTGCAGGACACTGAACAATCAAGTGGCAAGGGCCAGTAAAGAGCTGTAGATTTAAAGACTGGTTGTTGTGATAGAAAGAGTCACAACAAAAAAGCCTTTCTGAGCAGTAGGTAAGGTACCCCCAAAGTATTTTAGTCAGGTGTAAGTATAAATTACTCAAGGAGGAAGTATTAATTGACTTGGTAGCCTTTATATGCCTTCTTGAGGTGGGGGATGGATTGTGGACTTACACATGGAGTATAAACCTTCAGGGAGGACATGAAATCCACACTAGATAATATTTAAGGTTAGGTAACTTCCACAGATGATATGTGGAGTTTCTGGGCAGAATTCATCTCATCTAACTTCAAATGTCACACTCAGCATAACTGACCATTGACAGATTATTGCTATGTAAAGCAGTAGATATGTTCATGGTAGTTACAGAAAAAAATGTTATTAATATCTCCTGTCTCTAGATTGTCAACCAAGGGGTAACTAAACTGAGCTTTAGGCATAGATCAGCAGTGTATATTTTACCATTTGTTTCAAGGATATTCTTCCTTCATTTGAGCCTAAGACAGAGGCGTCTCAAGAGGCCTGTATGAAATAGAGGACTTACAGCTCCTAATCTAAATAAGTAGTATGGGTGCAATATTCAAAAAGTCTCACTGACAGCGGCTGATGATGATCTTCTCACTTACTGAGGCTGCTTGGAAAATTTCAGCTTTGATTTGTACAAGCTCTGTTAAAGAAATGACTGGAAGATGCTCAGAAGCAACTGTGAAACTGTTGTCTTCCAAGAAGGTTTTAATGGCACATAGAGAGTTACTGCAATGACAGAAATAAAGCATTGCAACACTAAATGTGTCTTCAGCCTTTCATTATGATTTCTTTTTTTATTTGGAGTGCTCTGGATTTACTTCTTAAGACAGGACTTTTTGCATACTTTGCAAGTAAATAGTGGGAACAGAACAGTTACAGAGATAACCCATCTATTTTGTCACTTTAATTTAGTGGATCTCACTTCGTTAACTTCATAGACTCCTAAAAAAGAAATATTCTAGTGGACATGAAAAGAACCTTTCAAAAAATTCATGAAAAATAGATGTGTTGTACAACCAACTCACACTTATTGACAGAAATTATTGCTATCAGCAAACGCAGAAGAAGGGAGAACATTTGGTACAGCCATTTTCTCTGTCTATAAAGAAGACACAGTTGCACATTCAAGAGCAGGAATTAAAACTGCAGGGAACATTTTAGGGTTTGATTTTTTTCTTTTTTAAGAAAGACTTTTAAAAATTGAAACAAATGCAAGAAATTATTGTAGTATTCCCTCATTTTACCTGATTACTCCTCAATATTTTTTGCCATACTGCTGGATGCTTCTGTCTATATTTTAAGACTAAGAGTTTGCATTTCTTGCAGCCTGTGGGTATTTCATTTCAGATGAGTAGCATGGGAATTCATGTTCCACTTCTGAAATGCTGATTTTATATGAGTTGGCAGGTTCTTCTCCCTTTGAGAGAGTGAACTACCTAGATTTTATTATTTATATTTTTTCAGCACTGTCAGTGTGTGAAAAGATTGAATCTCACTGTAATGTTTGGAAGATTAATGGGATGAAAAGGAAAGACAAGCCTTGTAGTCAGTGCTGGAGGCCAGTTGACACATATAGCCTTTATCAGGACTCTGCTGAATTTGGGAGTTCTCTCACTTCATTGCCAGAACAGCGGGTTTTGTACTGGCAGTGACAGTTTCAGTTATGATTGTCCTTTGGCTTCCAGTTCATACCCATATTTCACTCCAGTTCATGCTAAAATTAAGGTAACATAACCACTCCTTCAGCCTGTCAAAGTTCTTCTTGACCTGGCTTTGGTGTTCAGCCCTTTTGGCTGAACATGATGGTGACACTTGAGTACCAACAAAGTTTTGTCTGCTACACTTCTGCTGAACGTGTCTTTCACTGCAGAAGTGCTGTCAGTATTTTCCCTTATCTGACACATCTGTAACTGAAATGTCCCCTAACCCAGTTTTAAGCATGTGAGGAAATGTGAGCTTACTTTCATCTTAATGTAATGTCACCAAGTTGTGAAGAAGTGCTGGGAGTAAGCAATCTGGAAAAGATATGCTTTGTTTTAGGGGTGCCACAACAGTTCATATAAAAGAAATAATTTCTAGACATCATTACAGAAACTTTTTTACTGAACTTCAGTAACTTTAAAGAGCTGGAGATAAAATCTCATCTCTCAGTGTTAGTGCCTTGGGATGAAAATATGTGCTATTTTTCTGATAAGAGCCCTAGTAAAAAGTAATTCTGTGAAAATATTTTCCAAGGTATTTTCTTATCTGTTGGTATTGCTGTTATCAGGGAATACTGTAATGCTCTCAACAGCTGTTTGCAGCAGCTCAAGGAGAGGCTGGTGGCAAAGCTCGCTGTGAGCTTGCACTGATGTACTTGGGGTAATTCTAATTCCCTTCATGGCTTTGTACAAGACAGGAATAAAGTCTTTCTGTGCCTGTTGAAGTTCACAAAAGGAGGTAGAACAAACTTCCAAGACCTGCTTTTCAGGCTTTGGGTTTGACATCTACATGTGAAACGGCAAGAGTGCAACCTTGTGTGTTCCAGGCTGGTGTGCTCTGATTTCAGCCTTTACTTGAATCCATTGTGCAACAGTATTTTCTCACAGTGATACCATGGTTATTTGGTTGCTTTGCAGTCACAACAGCTCAAAGCACATGCAGAAAGATGATTTAAGTGTTTTAATTTTCACTTAGGCACCTGAGTGGACAGTTGTTTTTCCAGCTCTGAAGACAGTTGAACCTCAACCTTTTGGTTTTCAAACATGGTTCCCTTGTTTCAAGGTGTTGAAAATGATTGATTGGCTTCAAACTTGTTAAAGACAACTTTCTAACTCAGCAGCTGTTGGTGCAGCTGTTCCTCATGTTGGTTGTACAAGTGAAGGCTGCCTGAAAGCAGCTGGAATGGAGTTCCCTTATGCTCTTCGCAGGTTCTCTCCTAGTATGCCAGTTCCACTGGATTTATCTTTATTTATTGGATCTGCTTTCTCAGTACCAGCCTGTGCTCAGCATCTCTTGGCAACTTGTAGTTACTTAATAAAACACATTTTCTTTCTTGTTGCAATTGAGACTGCATTTACTTCAAGTCTGAAGCCCAGCACTCTCACCAACAGCATTTGGGAGGGTGACTGGTGAATGTCTACTGTCAGCAGAGTTCCAGGCTGGCACCCAAAAAGTCCCTGCAATGTAACTTTGAAAAAACATCACCATTTGGATGGATACTTTGTTCAGCCAGTGTCTTTACACATCTCAGTCTTGGGATAGAGTATCTTTGCTGCTTGGTGCTTTCATGGATCTTTTTTCCATCAGTACTCTTCCATACTGTCAGCCTCCACAGGCACCCCACACTCATGGGTCCCTTGAAAATCCTGTCGAGTGTCCTCTACCCTGGCTGCCTCAACCAGCCTTGGCTCAAACCTTGAGTCTTCTCCAGGGGCTGGAGTTAAGAATGGGATTTAACAAGAAGACAGGCCAGACTGCAGGGATCAGGGTCATGGCCCAGTCAGGTGAATGTCCTGCCCAAACACCTGCTGACGTGTCTGATCCCTCCAGCCTCCCTCCTTGCCGTCTTCCCATACTTATTCCACTCTGATCCTTCACTTCCTTCTTTGGTCCTTCCCTTAAACATCCCGTAGTAAGTTTTGTGCAGTCCCCCAGTCTTCTTCAAATACCCCCTAATATTCACACTAACCATGTTTTTCCCTTCTTATCAGTTGCAAAATTGAGGCTGCCCCTCTCCAAAGCCGGAGTAGCGCCATCAGTGCCTGACAAGCTCTGGCTTCCCTTGTTATCTCTCTCATCACCTGCTCCTTAATGGTTGTGTGTCTGTGTGTTTAATTTACCGTTTTCCTTGTTATTTGTATTTCCATGATAGAGAATAAACCTCAGCCACACAACTCAGGGAAGCAGATGCTCTCCTGTTTCACACATCCTCCTGGCAGCCTCCCCAAGGTGGGTGCTTGGCTCTGCAGGATGAAGCTGTGTAGAGGCACCTACGCATCAGGAGCTCTGTGGTGCTGCTGCTGAAGGTGCCCAGGCAGGCAGCAGCTCTAAGGACAGGGAGACAAAGGGAAAGGAATGCCTAAAAGCAGGAGGAGGAGGCGGATGTGGTGGGGAGGGAGGGAAGAAGGGAATGGGTTTAGGGAAGGGTGAGCACATTAATGAATCAACCACACAGATGTGTCAGCCTTTTGCCAGCAATCTTGTACCCACAGAAACCTCTTCCCTTGCTGGCAGTAGCTCAGCTCTTGCTGGCTGGGGAAGCAGGACACGGTCCCAGCTCCTCACTGCAGATGTTCCTCCTGCCTCCTTCCTCCGAATGTCTCATCCAAGGGGAAGATGTCCTTCTTGGGTGGATAAGATGCTGGCAGCTGCAGGGGGAATGGAGCAAAAAAGCAGGGGGACTGGACACATGGCAGGTTCTTCATTTCTGCTCAGGGTGTCCGGAGGATGTCTGCTGCTCTGTCCTGGGGAGCATCCTCGTGCCAAACACATGATGCTTTTGAGGAACAGCCAGCGCTGGGATGTGAGTGAGGGAGAGCCAGCAGGTGGGCTGTGGGTGCTGGGAGATAAATGCTAGGATGCTGTGCCTGGAGAGATAGACTGGAGCCAGGCACGCTCCATGCAGGGATGTGTTGGGCAATGTTTCTGGAGGAGAGAGCATGGTGGCCCTGCAGATCTGCCTTTTCCCCTGGCTCTGGTCTCCTGAAGCTACAGGCAGTGGAGTTTTTGCCCTGTGTCCCCATTCTGTGACTGTGGTGCTTAGAACCTTCCAAATCCTATCCTAACCTCCCTGACAGATCCATCTCCATCTTGATCAGAGGGAGCTTGACTCACAGAGAAGAAATATAGATATAGATATGAACAATAAGTTCAGAAGTGGTATTTAGAGAAGAGATAATCATTGCTAGTATGTATATTGCAAGCAGATTATTGAGAATGCAAGACAAAAGAAACAGAAAAAATATAAAAGCTTAAGTATGCTACAGACAGTAGTAAGATATTAAAATGCCATCAGAAATCTTTGTTTAGGAAAAGCTTCTCTGTTATTTACAATTTTACCATTTATATCCCTCAGATGGGAAAAAAATCACACCAAATGTTCATAATTCCTTTTTTACTATATCAAGTAAAGTAGTTGGATCCATCTACACCAGATGAAATGATTTACTATGTAACCAAAGAGGATATGAAGCATCACTTGCTAAATATAAACACTTTCAGTTCAGAAGTCCAGGGTCATGTACACTCTCAGTAGCTTAGGACTCTATTTCATGAATTTTAGATCTTAACAAACTTCGGAAAACTGGAGAGGTGCCAGAGGATGGATGGAGGTTCAACATGAGCCAGTACTTCAAAGGCAGTGATACTAGACTGAATGAACAGATTTTAGTCAGGGATAAGCTAATGAAGTGGTTACAGTGGGACTCTTGTCAATAGAGGTTAATAAGTATTTTCTACTGTGCTTCACTGATCAGACACATCTTGTCTGACACAGACAAGATGGATACAGAGGTACAAGACAGACACAGAGAAGGCAGAGGGTTTGTTTCTGGAACATTGTTTTACTGCCTGAGGAGTAACACAGTTTCTAGACACTGTCATCAACCTCAGCCCAGAGTTACTTAATGATAAGCAGTGACTTGTGCAGTGTGAGATCCCTAAACAAAAGAAACACCTAAACAAACACCTCTCATTTAGAATGGGATGGTGCATCAATTCAGACTCCATGAAATCTATAAACTCTTAGTAAGATAACAGCTTCCCTGT